ATAATCGTATATTAATTGGTGTTTTCACAGATTGAAAAAAGGAAAGAAAAAAATAGAAACACAAACTGAACGCAAACTGAACGCAAACTGGAAAACAATGTGTAAATCACTGCATGCACACACCTGGCTCCTGGTAAGCCCTGTTTGCTTTGCGAGAATGACTTTATCTGAATCCTTAGGATACCTTTCACACACACACACGCAAAAAAGAAAAAAAAAAGGAAAATTATAAATGATATATATTCCAAAGAAAGTAAATATACAGAACTAAAGGAGGGTCTTCCATTGCCGTATATGATAATGTAATACTGAGAGAGCTTACGGGTGAAGGAAGTGTTCAAAGAGCCAAGCACGAAGAACTGAAACGGCTCGTTCAGGCAACCCTCTCTGAGGTCTCCAAGCATTATGCTGCATCATTCCTAACTGTTGTAGAACTCGTTGTTGTCGAATTTGATGATCAACATATTTGAGTCTCAAGCTCTCAAACTTTGCTCCTAAGAAATCTTCTTCACCTAATTTCTTCCTTGTGGCTTTGATTTGTCCAGAAATTGCATCTTTAAGACACCGGAATTGCTTTGAGATTGTCCGCAAAGCCAGAGAAGTGTAGGATTTTGCTGAACCAAAACCTGCCGTCTGCTCGAATGAGGACACTGCTAATTGCATTTGGAGGTGGTACTGCCTGTATCGTTGCTCAACCTTCAATGACAAGGACGCAAAATTAGTTTATGTGCATTTGTATCTCTATAGTTAGTACTCTTATAGAGAGTTCGACTATTTTAAGTTTGTACTTCGGAATAATTTGTTTTACTAATATAACAAATCCTGCTCTATCTTATAATATTGTATCTATATATATATTTCAATTAAGAACTTTCTTTTCTTCCTCTGATTTGTGGAGAAGACATCTCAATAAAATTGTATTCTTTTAAGGACATGACATTCCTATGCAGAAATTCAAATCCAAATCATTTGAGAGAAACCCAATTCCCATTATAAATTTCTTTTTCTCAAAGAACATGCCATTTCACAGAATTATCCATTAATAATTTTAAGAATTGATCAACAGATCGAATCTAGATATGTAAGTTATATATATAAGTACCTCATCAAGCATGCTAACAAGTTTTCCCTTCTTTATTTGAAGCTCTTGTCTTTGTGCTGTTGTTAACTCAGCTGCAATCTTAGCACTACTACTTTCACTACCATTCGACGACCCTTCTCCAGTTACAACCGTCGTTTCTTTACTTAACTTCATCTTTTCTTTGCTCGCTTTTGGTGAGTAAGACATCATATTCCCAACATTAACAACTTCATCAAGAAGCTCTTGCGCAGCCTTCAAGTACTTAGACCCCAAAACAACACTTGGCGTACTTGAAATCCCATTCGAAACAACAGAAACCGAAGATGGAGAATTCACAGATACCATCGTTAGACCAACTTGTCCTCGACCTTGCATGTCAACTTCAACATTTATTGGCCTATTATAAACTCCTTGCTGTGAAGAGAGGCTCAGTGACAACCCTTGCCTGCACGAAGAAGCCACCGGTCGCCGCAACTCCACTTGACTACCATCGCCTGGAGCGGCCAAAGTGACAATCTGTGGGTGGTTAGGGGCTGAATTCTGTTCGATCGAAGCCCATAAGTCGGGGTGGACACCAGAGAAGATGCCATGAAAAGATGAACGGTCGTTGACATCCTCAGAATTGGTTTGAGAGAGGTGGGGAGATGGTGAAGGGAGTGATACACCGACAAGGGGAAGTTGATGGTTGTTGGATGGCGGTGCGTGGGATACGTTAGAAGGGTTTAGCGCGTTGCCGGCTGGGTTGAGGAGGATTGTTGTGTCAGAGTAGGGTACGTAGTTTGGGTTCATAAGATAGAGGGTTTGCATCCCATCAGAAGCTTGGATTTCTGGGTTACCATGAAAGTACGTTGCCATTGATTCGACAGCCAAATCTTTGCTTTAATCATACAGAAACTGAAAAAACTAAATATTTGTCAGACTCAGATATGCATAAAACCTCTCTCTTCACATGTATAAATTCTAGATTAATTATTAATTGCAGTTAGTAGCAGCCCATTTGGATGCTTAATATCATAATTAACCTGGAGAAAAAGTAGAGAAAGACAACAAACCCATTAAAGATGATGAGTTGAGGATCATATATATATAGATATATATATTATATATATAATATATATAAGATAAAGAGAAATGAAGGAAGGTATAAAGAATGTTGCAGAGAGAGGCATAAAGAAAAGTACCATACATAAGAGTCCAATTATAGTTAAAGCATATGAAGAGGCAAGACATCTGAAGGCATGTATCTATCTAAACTGTCCATCTATCATATTGGAAGAGATCTTTTTATACTTGTGGGTTGCTGCTGTTGATCTTGTCAGATCGATTTCTGCCATTCTTTCAAATAAAATGATAATATATAAAAGGGAAAGAGAAACAGAAAGCCGCAGGATTAAGAGTACGATTACATATTATTTTTTTCATAGTAGAAAAGAATAAAATTGACTGCTCATAACAAATAGTATTTCTATACAAGGAGATATCTTTTTTCACACATGTACATTCGAGGTTAGGTACCTGCGATCGATGATGAATAGAAAACTAGAAAATTCCATTGACTTGAGCTCATTTTCAAATGATTTGATGCAGGCACGTTTGATAAGGAACAGTTTATAAAATAATTAAAGCAAGAAAAAGATAGAGATGTAAAAATAAAAAAACTTCAAAAACTGCAATGGAAGTGGGACAGCTGATAATAAACGAGGAAACGTCTACTTCCACCAAAGGCTTAATAATCGAGAGTAAGAAGAGAGAGAGTTGGCGAAGGCCCCTTGGCTTGTAACTTTATATAAATATCTCTTTGTCTTGCATCTACTTTTTTCTCATTATTTGTTTTCTTATTACTATTGTTTATTATCTTCTTTTATTTTAATTTATGTGGTTGGATGCGAGAGTTGGAAGATAAAGCATCCAACACCAAAAATACCATATATCCAAAATTGTTTCCTGATAAATATTAAAACTTACAATTAACATGCAATCATTTATCATTGTCATTCACACACACTTTTTTTATTTCTATCTTTTATTTTATCATGAAAACTCAAAATTGTCGCTTTACAATTTGTTAGAGTAATACTACACTTATAAAAAAATTTTCAAAAATCTTCATACAAAGTGATGTGGCAAAATATAATGGAAAAGTGAATTTAATGAGTTTGATTTTTTGTTTCAATATTCTATTCATTTTTTGTCACATCACTTGTGTATAAAATCTTTGTAAGATTTCTTTGTAAGTATAGTATTATTATATTTGTTTTCATGTACGCGCTGATAGTAATCTACCCACACGTAAAAGTAACTCAATGTTTGAACTTTGTTATGATTGAAGGATTATAGAAAAATTATTTTATTGAATATAAATTATTCATTTATTATGATAACTTAATTTTATTCTCTAAGATATTGTGTACAAAAAAGTGATAAAGTTTTATATTCCTAATGTAAGATAAGGGGTTAGAATTTTGTTTTCTACAATAATTTTGTCATCAGGAATAAGGTCTAAATTTAAAAAATGAAAATCAGAACACTTACACCAGAAAAATTTTGTTTGTATTTAAGAATTCGTATGTGTAGATATGAACGTATTTAAGTGACAAGGCTTATCTATCTTAATTCATTAATTCTTTACCTGAGAAGGATAACTGAAGAACCCAGAGCCAGAAAATGAAGAAAACAAAATCTACAATGACCTTATTAGATCGGCTGGCTAGATGTTTCATGCGTAATTGATGGACAATATTGTTTGTCTTATTCACTTTTGAAGTATATTGAATAGAATTTGAGGTGGCTTGACTTTTCACCCAACAAGATCTCAAACTAGGAGGTTTGAGTACATTTAGTTTGTGTGAGACTCCAACACTCCCCTTACAATCAAGCTCATATGTTGGATCATGTCCGTTGATAGAGGATACTCCCCCTCACGGTCAAGCTCATGCCTAGTCGGTGTGAGACCAACACTCCCCCTCACGGCCTAGTCGGTGTAAGACTCCAACACTCTCCCTTGTGGTCAAGCTCATATGTTGGGTCATGTTTGTTGATGGAGGTAGTTGCTGGCTCTAACTCTTCCCCCACCCACTAGTCAAATATTCAGCTCAACTGGGTCTAGCTTTAATACTATGATAGAATTTGAAGAAGACTTCACTTTGATACCAGATAGACTTTGAAATGGGTCTAACTCCTTACCCAATAAAGCTTTGATAGAATTTGAAGTGAGTTTGACTCCTCACCTAATAAGACATTATTGAATGGAATGATTACTCTCACTTATAAACCAGTATGCTTGAGAGTGCCTAGTCGATGTTAGACTCTAACAATATTAAGTAAAATAATTATATATATGTAATTGGTTGGATTTTTTGGTTTTATCATAAGTCTTAAGATAAGCACTTGCTACTAATAAAATTGAAATTTTTTTATTTTTTATGTTTCAAGAAAAAAAAAATTACTGCGATAAATTTTCTAGTATGGTCGAAAACAACAACACTACGGATACCGAAAAAATTGCATCAAAATTGTGTACTGGCCCTACGTGTACCAGTCGTGTGAATTTTTCTTCAATTTTTTTCTAGTGAATAGTCGTCCAAAAAATTTGGATGGCCGTTCACTCACATGGACCCCCGTCCATATTATATGGATGGGGGTCCATATACTAGGGACGGGCGTCCCCATTTAAAGGACGCCTATCCCTGAATAAAATACAATAAAAAAATTTTTATAAACATTAGGGACGGCCGTTCATTCGTTATGGACGGTCGTCCCTTCATTTTGGACGGGCGTCCGCAAATAAGGGACGCCCGTCCTTAACCAAAATATGAAAATAAAAAAAAAATAAAACTTTAGGGACGGCCATCCATAAATTTTGGACGGTCGTCCCTTACGTTGGGACGGGCGTCCATTCCTAATGGACGCCCGTCCATACTTTTTAAAAAAAAAAAAAAATTCTAAAAATAACTCTTCTTCTTCGTCCATAGCTTTTGGTTTTTGATTCTGCACTGCATTTTATCGCTAACCCAGTAAGCTTTTCTTGTTTTGTCACCTTTTTCTTTGTTTACTTCAATCAACTGGGAATTTATATTTTCAGGTACAACGACATTTGCAGCTAAGAATTGAAGCTCAAGGGAAGTACTTATAGTCCTTTTGGCTCTGAGCTGCTAACTCTCCTTGTGGGTTGATGTTGACAATGGCTTGATATAGAGGGGGGCTCTTTGCCAGCGAAGCCGCGGCCCAAGTAGCCATTTCAGCTGGAGGCAAAGGGAGCATTGGCTCCTGCAGGAAAGCTTTAGACTTTTCTTTCTCTTTATTTTCCCTGCTTATCCTCTGCCTCTCCAGAAGCCTGTTCTTCGCCTGAATTCTCCTCATTGCCTGCAACTCCCTCATATTTATAAGCCTCTGCTGTTGCTCTCTCTTAGCCGGCAGAGAACAAGACCTCTCCAATGAAAAAACTCTTCTCTCACCTTCCCCAGAGTCCTTTCTCTGAGTCATGAATCCAGCCACTGAAGACGACCTTGTTAGCGAGTTCTCACCCNTCTAATGTCTAACAGTAACAGCAATCTTGAGTACTATTTCTCTTTTTCTCCAATATTCCATGAATGCAGTAAACTGATAATATTTTATTAACATCCAATATCCCAATTTTTCAAGTCCTTGTTTAAAAAGTTAAATCTTTTAACAAACGAATAAACATATCAATACGCAATCAATAACAGAGCAATTAAAGTAGATAGATTATTCTAAACAAACAAACAAAACACAAAACAAAGATTAAAGAGAAGAGATTATACCCTTTTGGCTCTGAGCTGCTAACTCTCCTTGTGGGTTGATGTTAACTATGGCTTGATATAGAGGGGGGCTCTTTGCCGGCGAAGCCGCGGCCCAAGTAGCCATTTCAGCTGGAGGCAAAGGGAGCATTGGCTCCTGCAGGGAAGCTTTAGACTTTTCTTTCTCTTTATTTTCCCTGCTTATCCTCTGCCTCTCCAGAAGCCTGTTCTTCGCCTGAATTCTCCTCATTGCCTGCAACTCCCTCATATTTATAAGCCTCTGCTGTTGCTCTCTCTCAGCCGGCAGAGAACAAGACCTCTCCAATGAAAAAACTCTTCTTTCACCTTCCCTAGAGTCCTTTCTCTGAGTCATGAATCCAGTCATTGAAGACGACCTTGTTAGCGAGTTCTCACCCTCGAAGTTAATTCCCAAAGAGAGTTGAAGATTGAGGTCTGGTTCATGAAGAGATTCTGAATTTGACTGTTGACTTTGCTTTGGATTTTCTTTGTCAGGTGAAAACCTCTCCAAAAGATTTGTGGGGTGTTCTTTATTTTCCTTCATTACCACTCCCTTGTCTCCCTCCATGTCAACTCAAGTTCTCCTCTTCTGTCACAAGAAACCAGACAATGTAGAAGCTCAAAAAGCCGAAAGTAAACAAAGAAAAAGGTGATAAAACAAGAAAAACTTACTGGATTAGCGATAAAATGCAGTGCAGAATCAAAAACCAAAAGCTATAAAGCTGAAGCTACGCGTGCATGATGGAGAAGAAGAAGCAAAGAGAGAGAGAGAGAGAGAGAGTAGAAATGATGGAGAATCTGAGTGGTTTGAGTTTTATAGGCTGACAACACACAGTTCAGAGACGCCACGTGGAGGTCAGTGGAGATTGAGAAGTGTTAATTTCCAGGTACGGTTACTTCCACAGATCATCATTATCATCTCGACATCACAACTTGCAAGAACACTATACAGCTTTTTGATATCACCCACTTGACCAACTTCGAACACTTACTGCTAGCTGCTTAATACTACTTTGTTTCTCTTCTGTGTGTAGCTGCTTACAACTGTTTGGGTTTATTTAAAACTTTAATAAAATTTGGGGGTTAAATGTAATTAATTATCTTACAAAATGTCCTAAATCAGGTCAACTTTTTGTTATTTCCGATTCTTTATTCAATGGTCAATAGTTTTACAACTCAATTTCTAAAATCTTCTCTTATCATCTTTAGTATGACAGTTCATAATTGGTTAGCTCGTAAATGAACAAACGAAATCCATACAAACAGATGAGACACATTTTATAAGATGATCAATGACGAACTACCAAATCAGACATTGTGAAAGAAAGTTGTGAGATTAGGTTATAAACCTAACATTACTCATTTCATTAATATGTTATAAGTATAGAGTGATCTATATTAAAGTTTATAATTTTACATTAAAATTTCATAACAATATTATTATAAACTTAATAACTCTTTCATAGTAATTTATAGTTGAAATGATAATATATTCCATATGGAGGAGGCTGCAGAGAAAAGTATTTTTAATTAATTACTAAATATAAAAGAATTGCATAATGACTTAATGGGTATAAAGAACCTTTCCATTAATAGCTTAATGAAAATAATTAAATTTTAATTCTCTAAAAATAGAGTAAACAACAAAGGGCGTGGAAGAAGGGAAGTGGCCGGGCGCCCGGGCATGAAAAAAACAAAAGAGGAAATAGGGAAACCACGTGGGCTTAACCAAAGCGGTGGTCTTTTTCTAATTTTAGACAATCTCTCTTTTCTTAACCTCGTCTCTCCTTTTACACGTGTACGACGCAGGAGATACCTGGTACGTAACTGCCCATTTTTAAATCTGTGGGGGGGATTCTGTGCTTCACTGCTGTACGTGAGCCTCCTGCGTTAATCATCTCTCGATCTTAGCCACCTCATCATCCAGGTTTTTTTCATGTAGGCCCACTTTAATCGAATTACCAAGTCAATGAATATATAGTCTTTTCATTTCATCAATAATTGAAAGGCTAATCTTTCACAATGAGTGGTGGAAAATATTAATGGGCCCGGATGAGTAGAAAATGGAAACATGAGCACCGAGAATACAGTGGATTGTCTTGCAGTATAAACTAGCCGTTTTAGACATATTTATAACACGACGTCGTTGGAACCCAAAGCTGCTGAAATCCATTACCGTAAACGATCAAAACCCGCGGCGGGGAACTGAGGAAAAGAAACTGGGGCTGTGTGGGCTTCCGATATTATTGACGGTGTGGGGACCATGGTGGGGCCCACGGGGAGGTTCAAGATCAAGACTTTTCAAGTTGCACACTTGCGGTTAAAAGCGTCTGAAAGGGACGGAGCTAGATTATGACACGTGGGTTAAAGGCCGTGAATGGAGTGCACGTGTCAAGTGACAGGAGTTCGATACTCAGTAAGCAAATTTTACATTTCTCTGACTCTCCTCCGCACGCCTTGCTGGCAGACAACTAGACATTTTTAAGAGGTTTTATTGTTTGTAACTTCCACGCGCTTGTTGTCGAATGTATATCACGGTTAAAATCCCTATTGTATTATTAATTAGTGTTGATTAATTTAAATTTTATTGTTTAAGGTGTTAAAGAAAATAATAAAATAGTTGTTTAAAAAGGTACAGTATAAAATTACCTGGGTATTTTGTGATCCTCGTCACATAAGAATATTATTTATTTAAAATCTATAAAATAAAATAAAATATACATAATTACAAATATGTTAAATGAGAAAATATATATAGTTAAATTAATTAAGGTTATTTGTAGAAAATCAAACTAGGGTAATTTTGTATATCTTAAAATTCATTCAGAAAGTGTTTGTTAAGTGAGAAATAGGGTTAATATTATTAATCCACTTAAACATAATAAAAATAATAAAAAATTCTCTATTATTAAGTTTTAAGTGTTAAAATAAACGGCATTTAAGCAATTTGAAAATATTTATTAACTCATAATAAAATTGAGATATTATGTATCACTTGTAAGATATTTATTAATTAATTAGGATCGTGGTTTGAGTTCTTACATGACTTCCCGAAATTACGTAGGGCAAAACAGGGGCTTCAATTTCAAACTTGGTTTCACGGAAGGAGATTGAGAAAAAGAGAATAATTAACCAACCTTTAAACCTAGTTATTAACGAAGAGATGGATGGTGTCTTAAAGGCAAAATTCAAGGCTTACTTCTTGGCTTAATTAAATGCCTTAATTTCGTATTTCAAAATCACAATCATTTATCGAATAAGCAGAACAGAACCATCGTGAAACCAGACAACAAATTTTGATTTTTTCCTTCAATCAAATTTTTTTTTTTTTTTTTTTTTATATAATTCATTTTCTGTTTTATAACTTTTTTAAGCGTTAAGTTGTTTTCACTTTTCATGATTTAAAATTATTTTTAAGTAAAAAAATAAATAATGTCATTAAAATGTTTATAGAAGATGTTAACGAAATTTGCTGTAACGGTAAGTATTTGAGATACAACTAAATTAATCAGATAACTAAAAGACTTTATTTAAAACTAATTTTAAAATAATTGTTAAAAATGGGATGAGTTAATATTAAGGCTTTGGACCATTGTGATAAGAAAGACAAAGAAAATATAATGTAAAGAGGGAAAAAAACCAATGTTATGAATAAAAGGCTATCAAGTGCCAAAGTTAGAAGGATTTTGTATAGTGGAGACTGATGGTTCGAGGGGTGGTGTCAGATTGAATTTTGGACACCAAAATAAGTCAAAATTTGGTCGAAAAAATCAACCCAATATGCGAGTCACAACTGATGAACGGGGGACAATCAAATGCCAGGGTTAGAGGGGTTTTGTAGAGTAGAGGTTGATGGTTCAAGTGGTGGTACCAAATTGAATTTTGGCCACTAGAATGTGGATGGAAAAAACAAAACCTTAACTATTGCAGGGGTGTGTTTGCAAGATTTCAAACATACAGGGATTGATTTATTTTTTAGGGGTGTTTTTGCAAGAATTCAAAATTTCTAGATCACAAGTCAGATTGCCTGTTTAACCAGTTAGACTAGTCAACCCGGGACCCAGTCCCTTGGTCGGGTGGCACCCCGGGTTAGGTTTTAGAACATTTAAAAAAACCAAATAATAAACAATTACTTAAATGATTTTACAAAGAAAAACTAATTGAAAAAATTAAACAATTACAAAAAAGCGAAAAAATGCTCTAGAGAATAGAAAAAGCGAGTGAACCCCACTAAGAGGAGTCCTCCCCTTTCTTCTTGGCTAGCCATCAGCGCTACCGCTCATGGTACTTTCTCTTCTTCGGTGAGTGTTTCTTGGACTCATGTCTTTGACATTTTATGAAGCATTCTAGGGAGTCATCAACCCATTCGGAGCTGTTTAATGCTTCTCTGAGATGTGTTACGAGATCTGGTAGGGGCTTAGCTAATAGATTTTCCTTGATAGTGGATATGGGTGCTACTCTTGGAAATTATTCTTCTGAGAATGCTAAGAAATTGAGTGTGGTGACTGAAGATTAGAAAGCTCCTCGAACAACAACTTATGAAGGCCTTACTGGCTAAGAGGTTAGTTAGGAATACAATAGGTTCGGAGGCGTTCGTCGCCCTCATTCTGGGAAGGATGGCCTTTTTTATTCAGGTCATAATGGTCATGAAGGCTGTGAGTTTGTAGAGGATCATTCTTTGGAGAATCGTCCTTCCTCGCAAAAAAAAAAGCCCAAAGTTGGTTGAGCTAATTTTCAACCCACAGCGCCGTTTCTTGTTTTGTCCAACCCTAAGGCTCATGGAGCGATGGTGGAAGACCAAGTTCATGGATCCACGTTGGGTCTTAACCTGGATCCAGCCCAAGTCTTGGAGACACTGTTCCAACCCTGTCTCCCTCTCTTCCTTGAGGTGATGGGTCGCCCAATTTAGGTGTGAATCAAGCCCAGCTGTCCCATGCTTCATGTTCTTATGAACTTGCGACTGAAGCCCACAAGCCTTTCATTTTTTGAGACCCTTCTGCTAATAAGACCTCATCTCCAGCTACTGGGCTTGATTCTCCGGTTTTCTCCTTTGGCCTCAACTGTTTCCAACCTTCCTCTTCTGCAAGTTAGAGGACTCTAAGCTGCGATGGAATGGCAAAAGGAAAAGGTAAAATGGGAGTTGGTACAAAATATGTTGGGCCAAATCATTCTTCATCTGGTTTTGCTGCTTCGGGACAAGGGGCTGCTAGCTCAAGTGTTTCTGGTCAACTTTTGCACTCTGAAGGTAAGCGTTCATGGGCACATGTCACGGCAGCAAGCCAATCTAAAGGAAAAACACCCATACTTTTTCATGCTCCTGAATTTTCATCGGATGGAGTTGTTGTCGTTAACCTCCCAATCTCTGTATGTATTGAAGGACATAAGAAATGGGCTAGCTGTCTTGTGGGATCATTCATTGAAAATAAACTCCCTTTCCCTATTGTTTAGAACATTGATATGCGTCTGTGG